AAAAAAAAACTCTATAGCACAGCTCAAATCTTAAGCTGCATATAAACCAATGCAAAATCTTTAACCAAATTCTACACTTAGTAGGTAATTCAATTCATTACTGGCCAGGGACAGAGGGACTTGAACTATTATTGAACAAATCGCTGAGTTTCCAACAGATACTGGAAACTATATTTGGAAATCTATTTAACAATCTTTATTTTTAAAAGCTGATTGCAACAGAAGTTAATCTAAACTTGATTTATATCACTCACCTCATTTTAGCTTTCCATTTCTGACCAACTTTTCTTAGCCCCAGTTCATTTTTATCCCTTGGAGTTTTCCATTCCAAATTTTGTTTTCTCAGTCCCACATCTAATTGTAATAGTTTTAGATCCCACACGACAAAGTATGAACACTTCAATCTGCATACTGCTATGCAGCATTTCTACCCGTCAGCCCACAATGCAAACTCCCTTCCCTTTGCAACAGTGCCTTTTATTTGATTAGCTCCTAATGAAAAACTACAAGACCACAAGGGCTATTCAAACATTAATGAAAATTGTCGCATTGTCAACTGTTCAAGCCCACAGATTGCAGAAATTATAATGTAAAGGGAGAAATACAATCAGAAAGTCTCAAATGCACATAAAAATAGACCATGTAGAGGTACTTGTTTAAAAAAAAATTAAGAATTTATCCTAAGCACCCCCCCAGATTTCATACACAAAACCTCTAGGGTCACAAACTTTAATCTCAGCAGCACCATTCATCAGTCTTCACATTCAGACTGTTATTACCCATGAAATACTATGCAATTTCAAACCACATTACACATACCTAATTGATAACAGGTATTGCAGGAGGCACACAGTTCTGATGCCAGAGCCACCTATAAATGCAATTTCATGAAGAACGACTTCTAGATAAGCAACAGCTGCATTCTTAGTCATTCTGGAAAGATGAATTTAATTTCTGCTTTACACACTACGGGGTAGTTGCCTCAAGTGCAACTGTTCACATACAGTATAGGAGTCATAAAAAGTGCATCAGTGAGGAGTGTATTTCGGAAAGGATAGTATGTAAGTGCTCTTAGTGAGAGCCCCAAAGATCATCTTCAAGTGTTAAGCAAGGAACAATCCGTTCTGCTAAAAAAAATAATTCTGCACACAAAAAAAAATGAACGGAGTAATTTGCCTTTGAATTTCTAAATAGATAATGGCTAAAATTTCCATTCATTACATGTTTCAATCTTTAAACAATTGCAATACACCATTTGTTGGTCATAGTTCTGTGATTCAGCATACAATGCTGTTCCTACAGGAACAAGAGTCTGAAGAGGAGATGAAAACCAGGGCCTTGTTTGCCAGCATGGCCTTAAAAAGTGAGTTATAGATATAACCTGGAGAAGTGTAGCTGAACTTAAAACTGTCCGGCACAAAATCGGCCTGACAATCAATATCCTTTCATAACGAATTTGGCAATTTGACAGTTGAAATTTCTGGTTAAGTATCTCCTGTTCACTATCAGTAGCAAGTCTTCACAATTATGCAGATGTAAACTGTTGCTAAAACAATCTCTATTTTCATAGTCCATGGCTAGAGGCCTGCTCCAGCGAGTATCCTCGTATTAAGATTTGTAAAATTTGTGGACCACAAATACACCAACCAAAACTATAGCCAGAATTCCAAGCATCCACTTGATATAAACATTATCCAATTCCAGAGCTGCTACCTGTTGAAAAAGAAAATACATTAAACAGATGTCCTTTTACAGAATTTGTACTGATTATTTTTTAAAAATAGGTAGGAGAATAGACAGTATAGAATAAATTTGCTTAACACCTCACGAGAGATAACTTACAGCTCAACAACTCCAGCTGGATAGATTTTAAACTAAACAGGGCACATGGGACACATTTTATTCACTATGAAAACAAGCACAATGCCTCTTGGAAAATCCAACCCAAAGTCATGAAGATTGCCACTTCACTCTCTCATCTTTACCAACCAAAACAAAGACTTCTGAATTTCTGGCAGGAGATTCTAATCAGGGCTTCTTCAGAAATGCGGAGGCATATTTTCATTCTGACAGGTCATTATAGTGTAAAACAGCTAGAGGAAGGAAAACCACATGCAGTTTTGCACAGCAGTCAGATGCCAGATTCTGAAATTTAATGACCCAGCATCGCAGACACCCATTTACAGAAGCTGCCGATTGTCTAAGTATACAAGGCAAGGGTGAAGGCAAGGTGCCAGGGCACATGGTGACCAGGGAGCCAGGTAAATGATGGAGTGTACAGGATAGGTCAGAGGAGCAGTTTGGGGGACACCAGGTCTGGCAGCAGGATAAGGGAAGAGGTTCCCACGTATAGAGAATAGAGGGGAAGAGTTGGTTGCTGGGGTAGTGGAGGCAGTGTTGGGTCCGGTGGAAGTGCAGTTGGGGGTCCATTGAATAATTACACAGGAAAAGTTAAACTACTTAGGAAAAGTTAAACCGTTTAAATATCTAGTCTAAATCCTCAGTAATTGTTTACCTAACTGCAGTGGAGCCCTTCGAATTCTCAGACTTAAATGGATACTTTTGGTCAGTTCAAAGCTCAGAGATTACCCAGTGCAATCTTCAATTTTCCTAGCCAATTTCTGAGTCAGTTAGTGTTTGGATTCTGTAGGTCCCAATGCACAACTCCCATCTACACTTCAGAACTGATGTTATCAGAAAACCTAGGTCAATAAAACTTGCTTAACAAGAAATATGAACTGCATCTAATGAAAATATAAGATTCCAAAAACCCCATCAGAACCTGACCAAAAAAAATGTCAACTTCTCATTCAAAAGGACCTGGTTTGATAGTTTAGTCCTTTCATCCATTTTCTTTGTAAGCACAGCACTTGAAACAAGCATAGGAACCCAGCATCACATGGAGCTTTGGAGGATAACAATTAACAGATTAACAACTTAACTAACATTTATTTATAGAGTCAGAAATATTCAGCACGGAAACAGACTCTTCGGTCCAACTTGGACATGCTGACCAGATATCCTAAATAAATCTAGTCCCATTTGCCCTATATCCCTCTAAACCCTTCCTATTCATACACTCATCCAGAAGCATTTTAAATGTGGTAATTGTACCAGCCTCCACCACTTCATCAGGCAGCTCATTCCATATATGCAGCACCCTCTGTGTGAAAAAAGTTGCCCCTTACGTCCCTTTTAAATCTTTCCCTTCTCACCATAAACCTATGCTGTCTGGTTTTGGACTCCCAACCCTGGGGAAAAGACTTGTCTATTTACCCTATCCATGCCCCTCATGATTTTTAAACCCTCAGCCTCCAACACACTAGGAAAAATAGCCTCAGTCTATTCAACCTCTCCCAGTAGCTCAAGTCTTCAACCCTGGCAACATCCTTGTAAGTCTTTTCTGAAGCCTTGCAAGTTAAACAACATCATTCTTATAGCAGGGAGACCAGAATTGCACGCAGTATTCCAACACTGGCCTAGCCGATTTCCTGTACAGCCGCAACAAGACCTCCCACCTTCTATACTTAATGCACTGATCAATAAAGGTAAGCTTACCAAAAACCTCCTTCACTATCCTATCTACCTGCAACTCCACTTTCAAGGAACTATGAACCTGCACTCCAAGGTCTGAGTATTGATTTAATCTAGGAAGCCACGGAGACCGACAATACAAAAGAACTGAACTTCCCAAATGATCCCAATGGAAGAAAACAAGAAACAACTTTCACTGCAACAATCAAACTAGAATTACCAAAAGAAATGTTATGAATTCACCGGATTTCAGGCCCTGGGCATGCTGATGCATAAGCAAAGCAGGAAAGTCCATCTGCATTCTGCTCACTGTTCCATTTAATCAATTAAAATGGTCCATCCATCTGGGTCATCAGGTGTTTTCCTGCAGGGTTGTGAAGCATGCAAAAACCTGACCACAAGACTGGAACAAATGCAAACAGCCAGTCATGGGACTTGGGACAACCATAAAAGGGGAGTCCCCTGATAGGTTAGTGACTCAGAGAAGTCTGCTGAGATAGAGGCTGAAGGTCACTAGATCTGAACAGGTGGAATTCAGGAAGAACGCCAAGCAACCTTTTGATTGCTTATGTGCAGTTATGACACAGGCAAACAACTGGGGAGCAGAGTTTGGTGGTCAGCTGCAGGGAGAAGGGGTTCCGTTCTGCAAAGGGTCCAGTATTCACAGGTTCTAGCAGCTAGGAATCAGAAGTCCTTCAAGCTAACAGGCGAACAGTGAGGTTAGGAAAACCCATGGGAGCTTAGAAGATGACTGTGGTCAGAACAGCAGCACGGCTGTAGAGCCAACTGAATAGCTCTACTTGCCATGAATAGTTCAGCAGAGATGACAGAGAAGGAAAGTCACAAGTGGTACTTGGTTGGTGTAGCTAAGAATGACCAAAGCTAGGGGAAACCCAGAGACAGTACTAGCTTAGTGAAGTTAGCTGTTTGCTGGCAACCTGAAATTGTGTCGGTGAGTAGGCACTAGACAGCAGTTTTCAATGAGGAGTGCAGTCACAGGAAAAGACAAGAATTACCAGGACCTCAGCAGTTGATAAGTCAGTCGATGAAGTTCCAAATCAAACGCACAAAACTGTAACCCCATTGCAAACTTTTAATGAGATTGCTGGTCCAGTGTGCTGAGAAATCCAGGGGATCTGTCTTGACTACATTTGTGGGGTATTCAACCAAAGTTTCCACTACCCATATTTACTTTTGTTAATTCTGGAGGTTAGAGTACAAGTTGCACCCTAAGATGCTGCAATTGTTTTGCTAATCTAGCTCTGTACAGTACATTTTTCTTAATTCAAAACGATAGCAACTTGTAGCTAAATTATCAGGCAAACTGTACTTAGTAAAATAAACTGAAACCACACTTTAATACCCAATACAAAAAGGTACATCTTGGGTTTTTCAGCTAGCCCTCTTAACATTCAAGTGGTATCACATGCAGTCAAAGTCCGTCTCTGCTCTCTTGTAAAGAATTCAATTAGTTCTTCCCTCACATGATTTAATCATTAGCAGCCTTCGACAACAGCTTTACTCCAGAGTTCCACAGATAAGGTATACTTCAATAGAAATGCCCCACACTCAGCACAACTGTCCTAATGGCATTGCTTTCCCAGAGTTCAGTTCAGTCAACTCCTCAGTGACAGTGTGGTACAGGATGGCTCTCAAATTTTTATTAGATTTCAGTCTATACAGCTAGTATTACAGCCACACTACACTTCTGTCTTGACCCACAAGCTGAGATCCAATTTCCTAGAAACCAACCAAAGACTCACTTCTCAGAAGGCTCATGTCACCTTTGGCAATTCCAATTAAGAAATTCCACCAAGAAACTTAGCTTTTGGGTTTCATTTCACTTAAAATGAGTCTTCAAGAAAAAAAAAAGAGAGATTTGGACTTTGAAACCATTTTATCACATTTAAGTTTCAGGTATAACATTCAGACCCACAAATTAAATGCATTATATAAATGCAAACTGTAACACAATAATACAAGTGTCTAGAGTTCTCTCAGTTATCTTTTTAAGAATTTAGGAGTGCATAAATAAACATACAAGCACACTTAACATTGATTTAATCTTAAGAAAGGAATGAATCTGGGAAACCAATTTTCTTAAAAGAAATTGTCCAGTGGGGAGCACTAAGTACATCCTTTACCATTTAATCTTATACATGAAATATGACTGTCATCATTTTCTAACCTAATTGAAATTTGTAGGTGTAAAAAAAACTTTACTTTTTAAAACAAAAAAAATTCCTCTCAAGAGCCAAGTTCATTAATGAGTAATTGATTATATACAGATGCCCAAGATCGCAAAATCAACACTGTTTATAGGTAGCTCATCTTAACTAGCAAAGATTACTAAAATTGGCCTCAGAATTCGTGGGTCAAAGCTGGAAAGGGGTGTATGCCACCATCAGGAAAATTGGACTATATTAGGCTACGATGAGATACGCTTTGACAACTGTCAAGGCTCATGCATGAAGAATGATTATTTGAGAAAGGTACCTACTGAAGTGCATCAAGCACATAAGAACCACACATACAACAAAAAAAAAATGCTCAGTGCACTTAACGTCTTACCCAACTACAAAATGAAATCGGAAAACCAGCAATCTACTGCTGAGCACTCACCCAGCCTCCTTGAGCTGCAATCCATCGTGCAATTCTATTTTTTAATACAAACTCTGCAATGAATTTTGCGATTTGACTCAGGAATCCCTTCATACCCTTCTGGAAGACATAAATGGCCATTCGATAGCCAAATCCTAAAAGAGCTATCACACGGCCCCAATTTATGCCACTTTCGAAAAGCCTGCAAAGAGAAAGTACAATTTTAGAAATGCTTTCAAATACAGATTTACCAGAAAAAGTTGCATAGAAATTTTAGTATACAATGCAAATTCATGTTTTCAAATAAGGACAACATGACTGCTCCAATATTCACTCATTTATAGCATCTGTTATTACTTCTATCAACAGACTGCATTATAAACTACCACATCTGATGTGGTCAACCCAGCTCATGTTAAACTGGTTAACTTGAAATATGCCAAGTTAGCTTTAGAAAGTGAAGCTGGTCAGATAGAAGGGGTAACAGCAGGAGAGCATTTTGGTGAAAGTAATCTTAATTCAGTTGAAATTAGTGCATCTACTGAAAATTACAAAAAAGACCAAGCTTAGAAGTTTTAAATCTAGGCAAGGTCAATTTTATAAAGTCAATGCAGGATTTGGTAAAAATGCAGTAGAAACAGTTATGAAGTCATAGTGTTATAGAATTTTACAGCATGGAAACAGACCCTTCGATTCAATTTGTCCATGCTGACCAGATATCCTAAACTGATCTAGTTCCATTTGCCGGTATTTGGCCCATATACCTCAATCCTTTCTATTCAACTACCTACCCAGATGCCTTTTAAATGGTGTAATTGTAGCAGCCTCTACCACTTCATTCCATAAATGCACCATCCTCTGTGAAAAAGTTGCCCTTTAGGTCCCTTTTATATCTTTTCCCTCTCACCTTAAACCTATTCCACCTAGTTTTAGACTTCCCCAGGGTAGGGGAAAGACCTTGGCTATTCACCCTATCCAGGCCATCATGATTTTATAAACCTCTAAACTTACTGTCAGCCTCTGATGCTCCCTGGGGAGATGGGGGGTGGGGAAGCTCCACCCTATTCAGCCTCTCCCTATAGCTCAAACCCTCCAACCTCAGCAACATCTTTTTTGAACACTTTTAAAGTTTAATAACATCTTTCCCATAGCAGGAAGGTAAGAATTGAACTAGTACTCTACAAGTGTCCTCACCAATGTCCTATACAGCTACAACATGATCCCACCCTATGTCTATACACAATTCATTGACCAAAGGCAACCATGCCAAATGAGTTCTTCACCACCCTGTCTACCTGAGACTCCACTTTCAAGGAACTAAGCACTTGCACCGTAGGTCTCTGTTCGGCAACACTCTCAGGACCCTACCACTAACTGTGTATGTCCTGCCCTGATCTGCCTTACCATAACGCAACATCTTACATTTATTTAAATTAACTCCATCTGTTACTCCTTGGCTTATTGGCCCACCTGATCAATGTTTCTGAGATAACCTTCTTCACGGTCCACTGCACCACCAATTTGGTGTCATCTGCAAACTTACTAACCATTCCTCCTATATTCATATCGGAATCATTTATATAAATGACAAACAACAGTGGACCCAGCAATGATCCTTGGTCACAGGCCTCCAATCCAAAAATCAATCTTTCGCCACCACCCTCTGTCTCCTACCTTCAAGCAACTTCTATATCCAAATGGCTCGCTCTCCCTGGTTTCATTGTTAACCTGTCTACCATGTGAAACCTTGTCAAACGCCTTGAAGTCCACACAGACAATGGCTACCACTGTTTCCATCCATCTTCTTTGTCACTTGTTCAAAAAACTCAATCAAGTTAGTGAGACACGATTTTCCACACAGAAAGCCATGTTGACTATTTCTGATCAGTCCTTGCCTCTCCAAATGCATGTAAATCCCATCCCTCAGAATCCCCTCCAACAACGTACCCACCACTGATGTCAGATTCATCAGTCTACTAGTTCTCTGGCTTTTCCTTACCACTTTTAAATAATAGCACCACGTTAGCCAACCTCCAGACTTCTGGCACCTCACCCGTGACTATCAATAATACCAATATCACAGCAAGGGGCCCAGCAATCTCTTCCCGAGCTTCCCAAATTTCTGGAATACACCTGATCAGGCCCCATTTATTTTCGTGAGAATGTAGCCATTGCTGGTTGGACCAGCATTTGTTGACCATGCCTAACTGCCCTGAAGCCAGATAAGAGCCAGCCACATTTCTGTGTGTCTGGAGTTACATGTAGGCCAGACCAACAAAGGATGGCTGATTTCCTTCACCAAAAGGACATTATTGAATCAGATAAGATTTTGAAAACAATGTACAATGGTTACATGGATTCTGGATTACCGGCCAGTGACATGACAGGAGAGGAGAGGAGAGGAAGGTTCCAAACAAACGCATTGCCTTTTTAATAAAAATGATCTAAACGTCTTCAATGTCAAACAGTTTAAGATAAAGCAAATAAAAACGAAGTTAATTTCATATGCTAGAGCGCAACAGAGCAAAATTTCCTGAATATAGAAAGCATGGAGCAAAATTAAGAAGTGAAATTAGGCAAACAAAACGAAGGCATGAAAACAACAGGGACAGTACAATGATGGGAAACACAAAAAGACTTTATAGACACAAACAGCAGGAGAATAACCAGGGAACAAGAGTAAGGCCAATTAGAGATTAAAAACGCGAAGGTGGAAAACATAAGCACAGTTCTCCATGAATAATGTGTCTGTCTACACAAAAAGGGCAATGAAGACAATTAAGTTAATGATCTGAAACAGTGGATGGTATAAACTGAGGGAGAAAGGAAATAGTAAAGGGGTTTGAAATCTTTGACAGTGAAGATATCATTATTCAGAGACAAAATTTATCCCAGACTGCTAGGAGAAACAAGGAAATAACTGTCACTGACGATCATTTAATTTAGTACTCGCTAGCTACAGGTGTATACTGCAAGACTGCTAATGTACTATCGTTCAAAAAGTGAGGAAATTATAATAGCTAGGCTGACTAGCCCATAACTCTCGTGGGTAAATTATTGGAACAAAGTTGATGAAAGTATAAATCACCACTTAAAATTATTTGTTCAAATACTAAGTACAAGGGCAAGGAGATTCTCTAGGAACTGCACGAAACACTAGTTAGGCTATAGCACCAAGTACAGTTATACTCATTGCATTACAGAAATGATGCGTTCATGTTAGAACGCGTACAGAGGAGATTTAGAAGGATCTTGCCTGGAATGTAGAATTTTAGCAATGATGAAACATGGTATTGGTTGGGTTGTTTTCTCTGGAAGAAAAACTAAGATTTAATTGGAGGTATGGAAAATTTTTAATAAATTTGAGACTGAACACAAAGAACCAATTTTCCTGAGCAAAGAGGTCAGTAATCATGGAGCACAGAATTAAAGTGATAGGTGGATTACATGGGAAGGTGAAAAGAAACGTTTTCAGCTAGTGGACAATGGGCAGAAACAATCATATTTTTAATGTATATGGATATGCAGTTGAAATGTAGGTTTTGGTTCAAGTTTGGACAGTAGCATTAGACAGTTCTTTCTTTAATTAGTAGAGATCAGATGGGTTAAAATTTCCCGAGCAGTCTGTAAAATGTTCTGTTTTGCAACAAATTTCAGTGTTTGAAGTCAATCAATTGTCACTCAACATCTTCAACTTTGAGTCGTGCTTGAATAAGCATTCTCTAATTTTAACAACATACAGCATGATGCCAAATAGAGTAAATTGAGAAGTTGCAGCAGTTAACACCTAATTTTTGAGCTGTTGATTTAAAATCAACTTTCCTGATATTTCAAGTGAAATTCACCTCCAAACTTGACACAAGACGGGTTAGAATTGCCAATTTCTTTTTTCAGCTGCTCTACCTCTTGTGGCAGAGTTCTTGGCCCAATCCCTGAGCCAGGAGCTCTTGATTCTAGTCCATTACAGGACTCCATGAACAAAGAAGGTGCATTCATAGTGCAGGAAATCATGTTCCATACAAACACAGAAAGAAAGAGTTCCTGATCAGCCAAGTGATGGAAAGGAAGTTGGAGCCACTGCTATCATTATGCATAGCTCCAAATTACAACATGTAAAAGCGCATATTGCCACAACAATTCTGACACAAAGAGAACTACCATTTACGAAGAACTCTCAAAAGCTCTTGCACATCAAGTGCTGAAGGTTAAACAAACTGCTTTACAATTACATTTGCCATTGCTTTGTCTAAAAAGCTAGTAACAATCATCTACTGCAGTCGGTCAGGCTATAATCAAATACAACCAAATAGAAACCACTTAATAGCTGGGAGGGAAGTGTGATACAATGTGCATTTCTGAATCACTTGCCATGCTAACATTTTAGTGAACAAATTTGTTTGAATTTTTCCCACTTTTTTTTTTAAAATGTTGCACATCAACAACTTAATTTAACTGTAAGAGGTTTATTTGCTGTTAAGTAATCTTAAATGATTTTAAAAAAGAGACTTTGGAAAAGGATTACTAAGCAAAATGAGAATGTGTTTACCTGCCCATTTGCTGTTGTAAAGCAGTAATAATCAAGCTATAGTTAAGACCCTATAGTTCAGCATCCAAAGGAAAGCAGAAATAAAGGACAGGAAAGACAATTAGACAAGATATAAACAGCGAGCATCAGTATCAACAATTTTTGAAGAAAATTAAAACTTTGTTTTTCTTAGTACTAAGAAACACAAGAGTAGGAGTAGCCCATTTCATCGCTGTCCTATCATTCAGATAGATCACTGAACTCTGATGCATTCAATCTTTGCTCCATTTCCCTGAACAACAAACATGGTTAATGGTTAACAAACTTTTCAGTACCCCACCTCACTCAATGTTATTATTGTGCAAGCAGTCAATTTGCAACACCTCTACCATTCTGGTCGGATTACTTCTTGGGTTAGCTAATATCAAAGTATATGGCTTGAACTCGTTTTTTTGAAAAAACTGGTTCACATCTGGGGAGAGCCTCCAAACGTTTATAACCATTATTTTGACAATTTTAGAGAAAATAATTCATTTTACTGATATGGCTTGAACTGGTTTGAAATTCAGGCACAATTTCCTTTCATGTTAAAACAATGTTGATATATGGGTGTATAAATTGAAATAAACACATGGCAATACAGAACTTAAAAATTGCTAAAAGGAGACTAAGTTGAA